GAGGGGGGGGGGGGGGGGGGGGGAGGGGGTACTCATAGCCGTGCATGCCGTAGTCGTTAGACCATTGACCTCGCACCCCTACAAAGCCGGGACGGAGTACGCCGGGTTCGGGGGGAGACAGAAAATAATACAGGCACACACACAAGCAGAGCAGTGGCGGGATAATAAGGCCGAAAATGGTTCGAGTAAGATACGCACATGGGATACCGAGGTACACTCCAGAGATCCCCTTTTCTCCCCCATCAAAACCAAATCTAAAAGTGCCGAACAGAGTAGCTGCAAATGTGAAAGCTACGAGAAAAAAACAGCTTCTACCTGGAGGTAAAGAGTACTCAAGCGAATCACCAAAGCAACGAAAGACTAATGTAACAGAGAAACCCACGCCACCCACCCAGTCATAGTGCTTCGCCGCGTCCAGCGTCTCGCCGGGGGGTTCAGGCAACCCCCTCATGCTGTCCTCCACCACCTTGACCGCTCTCAAAAGCTCGCCCAGGCGGAGTTGCACTCGCGACTTCTCGCGCTTGGTGTTGACCAGGTTGGTGTTCTGGCGTAGAATCGATTAAAATCGGTCGGTCGCATAGCAAGGCAGAGAGAGACACGCGTGTACCGCGGCAGCAGCACCAAAATACGGACGGACGGACGGACGGGGGGATTCGATGTTAGTGAGCCCCCAGCAGAGTGGTTGATAGTTTTTGGTGCTGGATGCCGCACACAGAGGACTCGTGGTTGGGTTGGTGCTACAAGCGCGGCGAGGAGGTTCGTTTCGAGAAGGCGGACAGCGGGTGGGGGTGCACGAGGGCTCCTGACCTGACGAACGATTAACAAGAAAGGAGAGAGCGCAAGACTATTGTACGCGCTCTCTGTTTTCTTGCTTCTCTCTCACGTTGTTGGCGACCTCACGGTGCAGGTCCATGACCTGCCTGGCCTTGTCGACGCGGTCGCTCTCCAGCTTCGACGACGCCATCCTGAGCTCCGTCGCCACCGACCCCAGGGAGGCCTCCGTGACGTCCTGCGTGTGTGTCCCAGCCCACGCGGCAAGCAAGCACAAGAGGATACCACTCACCGAAAAGTCTTGAGCACATCCCTTTCGACTGTGGTTTTATCTCGAACGGGTGGTCATTCTGTGAGTTTATGTATAATTTCTAAAGAGGATACGTAGATATACAATAGCAGCACTGCTGTGTAGCTAGGCCAGTTACCACAAAATTCATGAGCGTATTTCTCGCTTCGTGGTTAGCATGATTATTCAGGGTTACTCACGGAGTAGAACCGCTCCGCGGAGCGTTTTTTTTTTTTTTTAGTTCCACGGAGCGGTGCGGAGCGGTTTTTTATATTTGAAAATATCACGGAGCGGTGCGGAGCGGTTTATCCGAGGGCAATAGTCTCAAGGAGCGGAGCGTTTTTTTTCTGATGTCACGGAGCGGTGTGGAGCGGTTAATCCGTAGTGCGGTTATTTTCACGGAGCGGTTTTGTATACTCCGTGGCATAAACCGAGCAAAACCGTGTCCTTGAGGACGGTTATCCATCAGAAAAAAACGTCAAAACCGCACGGATATCCGTACAAAATCGACGGAGTACCTGCAATTTCTTCAAAAACGTCCGGTTTCGTACACCGAAAACCGACTTTTCCACACGGTGTGCTGTGTTTGGAGGCCGCCGGTGACACCGTGTGCGTCCTCGTCGCTAGGACAGCTCAAACAGAACAAAAAGCTGTCAACTAATCAATTATTCAGAAAGGAACCGTTCCCCACATCGATACCTCCTCGACTCCTACGTTCCTGCAACACGTACAACAGCAGACAAATCCTCACTTGCCTGTCGTTGAAACTTGCCAGTACTAATACCTCCCGACTCATACGTTCCTGCAACACGTACAACAGCAGCTAATAATTCCTCATATGCCTCTCGTTGAAACTTGCCAGTACTTGCACATGGGTAGCACCAGGCGTTTTGTGTATTCATCCAAAAACATACGCCGCTATGTCGCTCAGTCAGATTCGACCACGACAACCACCTGCTTTCCCGCACAAGCGGCTTGGACAGATGCAGCTTTAGCCTTCCCAACAGACTGCGCTGCAAGCAGCTTCCCCAACTCATTGTCCAACTTCATGATCTCGGGAATAAGATGGGGGTTAGACCGGAGGAACATCATCATCATCTCGACACGGTCGGGCATCATCGCCTACCGAAGGTTGTTGTACACGAATCCCAGCCCCGAAAAGTCCCTCTCTGATTGGCAACTAGTGCTGTCAATGCAAAGGTACACGCGAGCAAGCATGGACAAGATGGGGCACATTGGCCACGAGCAGCAGCAGCCGTAGCGTATGCTTTGCCTCTCTCCTGCTTCGCTTTTGCAGATTTGTTGCTCGCTTTCATCGCCAACTCGTACTGTGGAACATGCTTCGTCCGCAGATGGTATAGCAGCGGACGCGTGCCGTTCTTGGCCACGTGCTTGCACATCCGGCCGCATTCCGTGCCGTCTTCATCGGCAACGATGCATCGCGTGTTCTTCCCGTTGTCCACCGGCTTCTTGAGCTTCTGGAAAAACGTCCAAACTCCCGACAAATTCCCGTGTGGAACGGTCTCTGCAACGTTGATGACGGTGCGTTTGACGCTACGCACCGTGCTCAGGCGGGATTCCCCAGGTTGCGCCGTTGCTGATGCAGCAGCAGCGCCAGCAGAACCTCCGGCACCAGCACTAGCACCAGCACCAGCACCAGCACCACCAGGAGAGCGGTCGCCAGAAGGGCGGTCGCCAGGGTCGGATGTCGACTCCATCAGAGATAGGCAGACGTGCGCACGAACTGATGTGCACGGAGTGTGTGTGGTTCGTGTGCACGGAGTGTGTGTCTGTGTTGCTGCTGTGAAAGTAGAACAGAAAAAAATGAAAAAATATCGTGACTCCGTAGGAAAAAAACGTTACTCCGTGGTAAAACCGCGGCTGTATTGCGGTTTTATCCGTGCTTGTGTGACGGAGTAGGGCAAACCGCTCCGTGAAAAAACCGCTTGTACGGATTGTAGGGAAGCCCCACGGAGCGGAGCGGAGCGGTTTATCCGAGCGCAGATTTCTCACGGAGCGGAGCGTTTTTTTTGTTCATGTCACGGAGCGGAGCGGAGCGGTTTTTTCTCAAGGGAAAACCTCACGGAGCGGTGCGGAGCGGTTTAAACCGCTCCACTCCGTGGAAAAAAACCGCTCCGTGAGTAACCCTGTGATTATTGGTTGTCATTCGCTAGCTACGCGGCTGTAACTTCTTTGGTTCGACGACCACAAGACCCTACACACGGGCGCACACCGAAACACAACACATGAACGCCAAACCACCAACAGTAAGCAGAAACAGCATAATCAGAATATATCGACCACCAACCACGACTTTCCACGACTAACAACCGACAACTTCGCAAGCACCTGAGGGGGGCTGCTGACGGAGGCGTTCGCGAACGCCGGCTCTGCCTTGACCCTTTCGTCCAGCCTCCCCTCGTCGTCTTCGATCTTGTCATTTGTTGACCCGTTCGCCGATCGATTTTCATCATCGGTCCAGACAATAGTAAGAAATCGTTCATGGATGGAAAATCGCAGAGGTTTTTCCAATTAGGCGGGGGGTTGTGTCGACTTCGAACCGGTTCGGCGTGGGTGTTGGGATTGGACTGCGGCGTCGGCCGCAGAAATTTTGATACGAGAAGGTTAAGATGCACGTCGCCTCAATATCGCGGGTGCCAACAGCACAGAGTCTTCTACTAATAGTCTATTCTCCTAATTCTGATGAGATTCAACGAGCAGCACCATGTGACACGCCACGTAAGCCGTTCTCAGCAATTTCAAGCCGACTCTTCCGCAGAGTCAGGACTTTTGCTCCCTGCTTAGTTGCGACCAAAAATAATAAGTCAAGGAACATTTTTCATGAGTTGGTCATGATATTGTCATGATGTGCCGTGACAAAAAGCCATTTGCACATCATGGCATTCTCATGACATGCCATCACTTGTGGAATGATATGTTGGCCATGGCACGTGATACACACAGTCAGTCAGGGCCAAGTCACGACACAACCATCTTACACAAACAGACTTTGACAGGTATGAATGGAGACAAAGCTGACACCTGTGCGGTCTTGACGGCGATCTGGCTCTGCTCCTGCTGCTGGCTGCTGAGAGCCTTGACCGCCGCCTCCTCCTCCTCGACGCCCAACTGTCCAAACAAACGCGGCCGTTTCACAAACAGGTAGATCAGCGGGGTGGCAGCGGTTTCTCACACATGAACAACATCAGAAAAAAGGCAACATCAGTCCCCCGACGTGGTTTTGGTTGGACATAAACGTGCTGTCGCCGACACGTCCAAACCAAGGAGGACGGCGTACAATGCGTAATTCCTCGAAGAGACAGTTATGGTCTCTAGAGGTCTCACCGTGCCGTAAAAACAAACCGTGAATGTTTGAACGAATGTCTGGCTCTCCGCATAAGCCACATTCGAAATTCTGCTCTGTTGGCTGGTTTCTTTTCCTCAGAGTTGCATCTCTTGTCCCGCGCAAGTCACACGTTCAACCGAGGTACTGCCTTGTGGCGTGCCGCCGCCAAGCAGACGGCAGCAAAGAGCAGCGTGTTCTTCTCAGTGCTGCATACACCAGCAGCGAAGACCTGCGGCGTTTTCCGTCTCAGCATAATAACAAAAAAAATGATACACAGCAACGCAAAAAAAACGAAAGTTCTCACCCTGATCTCGCTGAGCCGGCCCTCGAGGACCTTGCTCTCCCTGGCAACCTCCTGCGATTTGTCGTTTTTGAAGAAGTCGTCCGATTCCTTGGTCGCTCTGGGGAAGGGGGGGCGAAAAACGCGATTGTCGTCGTCGTCGTCGTAACGAACGACGATAGCGGAGGGGTTGGAGAGGGCAGGGTTGGACAAGCAGAGAAGCAGGGGGGTGGAGTACGAGATGGGAGTAGGGGGGGGGGCAGGCAGATGTATCATACATGAGCCAAAAAGGCAGGGACAGCACCACCGAGAGACGGATCGTCGTGACTAGAAGGATCGCATCTGGCGGCATGGCCAGCACGACGAACGCGACGCACGTCTCCCCCGCTCGGTTCCGCCATTGCTTCCTTCAAAAGAGCAGCAGCTGCTGAAAGTTCGCGACCCTCCCGCCTCTCCCACCCGCACAGAAAACAGCGAACCACTTCTTCCATGAGTTCCACGCACGTGCGTGTGCAAGGTCACGACCTATTCTTTTTTCACCCCTTCCCCCGGCTTCCATATTCTTCACGGCGGGTATCCCCCCCCCCCCCAGCAAAATATGCGGCAGGGAAAACAGATGCAGGATGGAAGGAGTATGTTGAAAGTAGAAAGAGGGTGAAGGAGTTGGTCGTGAAGAAGAAGAAAGGGTTGTGGGAGGAAGTAGTCCAAAAGACTAACGAAGATTTTGAGGGGGGGATGAAGCAAATGTGGGTAGGAATTCAAGGGATAGTGGGCAACAAAAGAGGGGGAGACACGGAAATAACGACACTAAGATCTGCCGAGGGTAAGATGGTAAGCAGTTCTAAAGGAAAGAGGGAAGTACTAGTAGAGCACTACCGCAAACTTGGGACACCCACCACCAACGACAACTTCGACTCGGAGTTTGAGAAGGAAATCAACTCGTGGGCAGAGGAAAACGTTGAAAGATCTCAGAGGGAACGTAGTGATGTAGACGGGTTGCAGGGAGAGTTCACACGAGAATAGGTAGAGGACTGCGTAGCGAAACTCAAGAATAGAAAAGCGGCAGGGGCTGATGGAATTGTGAACGAGCTTTTGAAACAGGGGGGGGAGGGAATGATTAACATGTTGGTCCGGATATTCAACTGGATATGGAAACACGAGTACGCGCCGAAGAGATGGAGAGAAGGAGTAGTCGTGAACCTGTTCAAAAAGGGGGATAAAGCTGACCCGGGGAATTATAGAGGGATAACCCTGTTGAGCATAGTGGGGAAACTGTTTGGCAAGATGATAGACAATAGAATGGGAGACATGTTGGAGGGGAAACAAAAGATCAGCGAAGGACAAGCTGGATTTAGACCAGATCGTAGTTGTGTAGACCATGTATATACGTTGAGTAAAATCATCCAAGGTAGGAAAGACGCCGGGCGTACGACATACTGTTTCTTCCTCGATATACAAAAAGCCTACGACACCGTATGGTGCAATGGATTGTGGAAAAAGATGTGGGACATCGGCATCCGGGGGAAAATGTGGAGGATGTTGAAAAAGATGACAGAATGCACAAGAAGTGCGGTGATGTTGGATGGGGAAATTTCGAAGTACGTGGATATACTCCAAGGAGTCGCACAGGGCTGTACGATGTCACCCACTCTTTTTAAGATTTACATCAACGATTTGATAAGGGCGGTTGAAGCAGTAAGACAGGGAGTCCAAGTAGAGGGAAAGAGTGTGTCCGGACTGATGTTTGCAGATGATTTCGTGGGGGTATCCGAAACACCAGAAGGGTTGCAAGAACAAATAGATGCGGCGGTAGGATACACCCGAAAATGGAGACTGTCGGCGAACGTAGGAAAATGCGCAGTAGTGGTCTGTAACGAAGATAAGAAAAATCCCGTAGAATTCAAATGGAAATGGGGGGAGGAAGAACTACCGGTAGTAGACAAGTATACGTACCTGGGAGTAGAGATTTCGAAGGAGTGCTCATGGGACGCACACATAGCGAAGTTGATTGGGAAGAGTAAAGCTCAGATAGGCAAGATGGACGAGATCCTTACGGACCCACACCTAGACACTAGGATTAAGAGGTGTATTCTCTTGAATGTGATTGTACCTAAGCTAGAGTATGCAGGAGAGATATGGGAAGGTAACGAAAAGGCCGTCAAGCAGCTGGAAACGGTGCAGATGGCAGCGGCCAAGAAAATACTAGGATGTTCAAGTACAACGAGCAACACTGTATTGAGAGCAGAATTGGGAATGTACTCTCTTAAAACAAAGAGAGACATGCAGAAGTTGATT